ATATATATTTATATATCGACAGCAACGCGCAATGTGTTTCTCGCCTGTAAGAACCTGTACGATCCTGCATGAGTTGGTCTCTTAGCCCCCCACCATAAATTCATACAGTATGACTCGTGAGAATACCAGCACGTTCACAACAAAATCATTATTCGTATGCAGGATCGTACTGGTTCTTACAGGCGAGAAACACATTGCGCGTTGCTGTCGATATATAAATATATATATGAATAGATAATATTTCGTTCTCGGAGAGTAGGCGGGCGGGGGAGAGGTGGTACTAGCATACGCGACAATAACACTCGGCGACCGGCCGATGAAAACATCCGGTATGTATTATATTATATACCGACTCGACGTTCGAAGACGCGGACGATAATAACAATAATATTTGATAATTATTGTTTTCGAGGACCTATATGTGATAATGTTAGTGGTTTTGGCGGGTTACACCAATACACGAGGTTTATAAGGTAAAAAGTAACGTTTATTTACGACATGACCACATTAAACAAGTGTTCGCCAGCCGACTGCTTGTGGCGCGAGAACAGGCGAGCACGCATTTATTAAAACAACATTAGTGGTAAAAATCAATTGTACATAATGATGGTTCGGAGTCGGGAAAACAATGTTTCGCGAGCGGCGTCGGTGCGAAGAGAGCGAGCGGAGCGGTCGAGACGTCGAGTCGAACGGAGCTGTGGCCGATGAAACTCATGAACGCCGACGGCGAGGGGAGAGGCCGACGTCCGCCGCGAGTGACGCGCAGCCGGAAGAAATGTGGCGCGAAACCCGCCACATGGTAACTGATAACGATTATAACTGATAATGATTATGATAACTGATAATAGCTGCGAACACTTGTGCGGTGATAGTATGCATGTGCATGTATAGTGGTGGGTATGGGGAGGGGCGGCGGCGTGCGGTGGCTTCGCGTATCCATATAGGTGATAATGTTAGTGGTAACTGATAATGAAAAAAAAAAAGTGGGAGTTGTTTAAATACGTGAGGAGGAGGGTGCGGGAGAGGGGGATCCTGATCCTGATCCTGGGGTAAAACATACCTTTTCATACTACTTACCTCTTGAAAGCCATCGTATCTCAGTATGAAACAACAGAGTAGTGTGTCCTGTACCGATATTTTTACATAGTTCTTCGAATATTCTACATTTTACTGGTCGTCTTTTTATGTAATTTATCATTGCAATTACAGTTTTGAGAACATCACTTAATTCTCCCCCATCCGAACTTTTCATCATCAGAGCTTCACGGTGTAAGAAACAGTGAGTTGTCATTAAATTAGAATTTTTATTTTTTGCAAGAGTAAGAAATCCTTTAAATCGGCCAGTCATTGCCGTTGCACCATCTGTGCAAATTGAAATGCAGTTTGATCAATGTAAATTATTTTCTTCAAAAGAATTATTAACAGCATTCCAAATATCGACTCCTGTTGTTGTAGTTTGTAATTCACGGCAAAATAAAAATTGTTCAATTATTTCATTTTCATTGACAAATCGTATGAAAGAAATGTGTTGAGATTTACCAGAAACACCGGTACTTTCATCAAGTTGTAATGCTAACTCTTTATCTTTTCTGAGGACAATGATATGTTTATTTACGTAGGTCTCTAAGCGTTACAATTATTTTTCTTATCTGTGGTCTTTACTATTTCATCATAATGCCGAAATATTATATGTTATTTATATTTTGGAAACGTACAATTCCTCATAATTGGTTTTGTTATCTGTGATTTTCTATTTGATGATAGTTATGAAATAATTTGAATCACAATATAATTATGATTTATAGGTAATATAATATAATATAATTCTAAATAATATATTAAAATCGATATTTAAATTTAAACTAATAATATTTTAGCGACACACTAGTTTGTCGCGACACATCGGTTGAGAACCACTGATATAGTAAGTATTATAATTTAATACCAACATTATTATAGGTGCCTAATCGTTTCAATTCCAAAACGTACTCGTAAATTAAACATTCAATTTTAATTAGGTATAGCAATATTTTAAATGATTTGAATGTATGTTTGGAAAAGTAAAAACTTATGTTTCTACGTTAATAATGTACTTACCTAGTACAAGTTGTCATAACAATATACCTAGATTCAGCATTAGGTAAACAGTGAGTATAATTAGACTTAATTATAATAGAAGAACATTACGAGGAAATCCACGTCCTTGAACTTTCTTTTAACAACATGCGTGATACATAATGTAGTATTATTCTGTACTTAACAGTATATTATACTGGTTCTCTATGAAGTGCATTTCATTAATTGTTAATAATTTTTACAAAGTATATTTATAATACGGGTTACCTACTTGAAACGGCGTATTATATAAGACGGTTTTAAAAATAAATAAATAAATAAAAAAAAAAACCAAAAACTATAAAAACTATACTGTTGTATTCAGTGTTAAAAAATATACGAGACCAATTCTTCGATTCATTTTTTATGTTGCGCGTATGCGAATATGTAATATCCAACACTATTGTTATTATTACTTGTCCTTTTTTTTTTTTTAAGTTAAAAAAGTTGTTTTGATCACTAATACGAGTATGAACAAAAAAAAAAAAAATTGAATTAATCAAGTTAAAATGTTTGAGACGACGAAATAGGTAGATAAAAGTATAAAATGTCGATATCTCGTAAATGTGCGTATTGAAATTAAGTTTGTTTAGCGAACAAATTAAAACAATAAAACGAATCTGTATAAACTCATATTGTTATTGGTGTTGTTCAATTATATAATGTAGACAGCCAATGGCACAGGTGTATACAATACCGTCCGAAACGATATCTATTGATAACGATTGCACGTATGATAACATTTTTAATAATGTTCCGATATTTTCATGTGACAAGTGAAAATAGAAGGACGTTTCGAATGACGGTAGTTTATTTGAATAATTTTTGTGTGCTGAACGTTACTAATTCGAAAAGGAAGATTAGGGACGATTTTTTTTTTTCATTGCTTTATTTGAAACATCTATCGAAATTATCGACTGTTCATTTTCTATAGTATTTTGTTTTGGTATTTTTTCTCGAAAAATACTTTTTCAATCATTATAGTAAAAAGGTTCAAAATTATTCGTACATGGCACTATAACAGTCACGGATTTTTCACCGGTACCTGTAGTACTTTATTTGAAAAAAAAAAACACCAATACGTATTTTGTGTACAATAGCTAGTGTATACAGTTGAATATATTTTAATCGGTATTACGAGTATTTTATTATCTATTAGATGTGGAATTTTTAGATTCACACTTGCGAAAAAAATAACAAACTATTGTTCGCAAATTTCGCAGAATAATGCACACCATATATTGTTCATCGATTGATGGTTTTGTTCAGAAAAAAGTTTTGCGTGCTACATAATATTTCAAAAGAAGATTTAGGAAGATTTATTTTTTGAATTACACAGACGGAAACAGTGTTAGTCTGGCGTGCGTGTTCCCGAAGGTGCCATTTAAAACATTTTTCAATCTAAAAGTGAAATAGGTACCTAGCATTCGTATCATTATATATTAGTATATTTCGATTTTGGTTTTAAAAAACCGCGAATTCACCGATTTCGTGAAATCGTATTTGGAAAATATTTTATATTTCAAATGTGTACGTAATATAAATCATAATGGCGAAATCGAGGGAAAAAGGGTAATGACCCCTCCCCCCCTTAAGCGTAATATAGTAAAATATGTGTAGGTATTCCAAAGGACATATGCCCTTTGGAATGCGATTAAATTTGGTATTGAATAAATTTGTATTAATCCATCCACTTCTCTAGTAGGTAGTCGTTTCATCATCAAATACAGGGTGCCCTAGAGTGTTATATGAACGTTATATTACACATATGCAGAGAAAAATAATTTTTTTCATTCCTTAGCAACTAAAAAAAAAAACTTAATTTTTCACTTTTCAAAATTTTAAAAATAGCCATAATATATAATAACCATTTATAAAAACATTCATATAGGTTTAATAGTTTCTGAATATAATAGCCGTTTTAATTTCTAGTAAATTGACGTGAAAACAATTTATTTTCAATATAATAACACGTTATGCGACAAGGAATCATAATCAGAACAGTAATTCCTAATTTTTTATTGAAAATTAATTGTTTTCACGCCAATTTTATAGAAATTAAAACGGTTATTACTCAGAAACTATTGATCGGATATGAATTTATGGTATATTAAAATCTTTAGAATATTCTTTACAAAATTGTAATTTTGAAAATTAAAACTTAGTTATTTTGTCAGTAATTAAGGGGTGAAAAAAAATTATTTTTCCCACTAATCCAAAACTCGATTGAAAAAAAAAAAATAAAAATAAAGTTCATATAACACTGTAGGACACCCTGTATAAGGTCGACAAAAAGTAATTGAAATTTAACAGTTTAGAGCTGCTAGTTTGTTAAACTGTAAAAAAATAAATAAATCATATTATACTTTGTGAAATAATAAAAAAATCACCCTAAAGGTATATATGCGTATAATAAAATGATTCGGAATTTAATATTTTATTGTGAAGTATAAAGTAATATTAATGCGATATAGGTATTAAAAAACATTTCGTCATTGCCCAGAGACGCGCATAAAATTTTGAAAATTGAGAATTATTTCAATATCGTTTCTAAGGTTCTTTTCAATAATAATATACATTTGATCTTTTCTGTACAATATATTAAATATTTTTAACCTCAGTGTGAAATTACAACGAAAACTCAACGCGTTAAAATGTACCGACTCGCAGTAATATAATAATAATATATATTACTCTATTACATTAAACTCGTTGAGAAAAAATAAACTTATTATTATTAGACATTTAGACAGAAACTTACGTTACATAATATATATACTATTTTTCACAGCTATACACTCGTATCATAAGATTGTAAGTTATTATATTTTTCTCAATTTATATAATGTATAGCTGCAATGGTGTTGTCCATTTCGTTTGTCATTGTTTAATTTACGACTGGTTATACTGATGGAGCCACTGTACGACAGTATTATACATTTAACTCAATTTTTGTAACGCGTATTATACGGATTAATTTTCATGTCAGGAATTCGGACGCCGCACACATTTTACTGCAGCCTGCAGTGTAAGACGTCAAACGGAACCGATTAATCTAATAAAACTGCGCCACGTATACGATATCCCTGGTCGGAAAACACAGTGTTTTTCCGACCGTCGTATTCAATTCAAAAATCGTAAATCTTTAACATAGCAGTAATATAATAATAATTGATAATCGTTCGAACACAATTGATAATTTCTTAATGTTTTTCAACTAAATCCCGTAACTTTTGAAATCGATTTGGAATGATTGACCGCTCCATGCTGCACTAGTGCTGATACAGACTCGCCCTCTCTACACCGTCATCATCCCGATCGCCATTACAACTTTATTGCGCCTTTCCGGGCCTCGTTTACTTGCGAAATGCCGAGATTCAAACAGATCCGAAACGCCTGAAAACAGTCCGAAAGTCTGAGACAGAATGATATTTTGACCGTGTCGATAAAATGTCAATATATTATAGTATATTCTATGAAAATGTTTGACACGTCGATTGCAGTAACGTATTTAGGAATCTGTCACGGGGAGGGTACAGATAATTTTCGGAACATAGAGTCGTGGAAGACTTCGCACTCCCCAATTACCATTTTTAAAATAAAAATATTATTTTTATAATTCTATGTACAAATTACATAATACTATACGGTTCCATGGTGACTACGTAGCGATTATAATGCATGCAGGATTTAAAAGAACAAGTCAGAATAATATTAAAAATTATTCAACTATAAAATAATTAAGATCAAATTTTGAAGAAAATCGTCAATACTACGACTACCTTACAAATTATGTGTAAATGAATTTTGTTCTGAATCGTTTTTTTGTTAGCAACGGTTTGTCGTTGCTTACAGACGTTATAGTTAAAATGTGTCTTATACCTACCCAACTTGCCAGCTATAAACAGTAACAAGCCCATTAGCAGTATCAGCTCTTTTATTGTTTTAGATTAGGTTTTTAAATTTCCGTTGGGTTAGATACGACTGCAGAAGAATATTCTACGATTTGTTTATGGATCGTGTTTATTATTATTGACTACATTCCTTCCTGTTGAAATTTCTCTGGTACTACGCCACTGCTTAACGATTCGAAGTATTATATAGACGTGAATAATGCGTTTTTAACGTGAATTTTTACCTGTATTACTGTATATAAGCCTATATTATTGAAAAAGGCAAAGTTATATACTGTATTGCGGGACGATTGCCGATGACGACCGAAAGTGCACGACG